AATTGGCAGAAATGCCCAACAAACAGAATTAACAAAGTTTGCAATACACAATAACAAAAGAAAGAAAAAAGGGCAAAAAAATACTAAGCAAGCAATATATGCAATACAAGTAAGCAAAACAACAGCAAAAAGGTAAAAAAGTTCACAAAGTAAGAATGGCGTTAACACTCAAAAAAGATACAGACAAGTGACTGCAACATTCTGACTTCAAGACAAGAAAGAGCAAGAATATAGTGGATGAGAAGTGGCCTATCTTATTGGCTAGGAAGAAATTTCTACAATTTGTTTATAAATTTGGGGAAGGGAATGTTTGTGCAGTCATTCCAATACAGATTGGAACTAATAAGGATTTAAAAAATATAATTTAAAATCTATATATAAAATTTAATCAAAAAATTGTTTGGTCTTTCCTTTTAATAACAAAGATGTTGATATTTTTTTTTTTTTTAAGTTTGGGGCATATTTTCATGTAAACTCATTTTATAGCAAATCTTTGGAGATACTAATGTTTGTTTCTTTCTTCTGTATGCTATATCACTTCAGAACATTGGTGATCATGGCTCTCCACAATTTCCTGTCCTTTGTAGCTCTTAATAGATTTTATCTTATCGTTCCTAAACCTTGTTCCATCATCCATTTATTCAAGCTTGCTAGGTAGCATATGCATTGTTTTCTTCAGTCCTTGCCTTCAATAAGTCCTGTGAGTGTTAAATTTTACAAGCCCTTTTTCCACATAATTCAGTAGAAATGTGATCATGATCTAGGATCGAGTATGCCCAACCAGTGGAGATGCGATCTAGGATCGAGTATGCCTAATCAGTAGAGGTGCGATCATGATCTAGGATCGGGTATGCCTAATCAGTAGATGTGCACTCATGATCTAGGATCGAGTATGCCCAACCAGTGGAGATGCGATCTAGGATCAAGTATGCTTAATCAGTAGCAATTGGTGAAGTTGATGAATTATGTTCTGTGGACTGGTTGATAAGACATCGGCTAATTGCCAATTGATTCCAACTTTATAAAATGGTAACTAATAAAGATTTAATTATAGTTGGTTCACATATTCTTATAATTTTGTAATTTTTTTATAAATTTGAGTAAAAAATTTTCATATTTCTTTATAAATTCAGAAATGATAAATATTGCTTTTTTATTAGTTTGCATATTTTTAGAATGTTGTAAATATTACAATATTCTTGTAAATGAACAATGTAAATAAATACTGTTTAAGAAGAAAGAAAATGTATAAATTCACTTTTATGTGTTTGGATTTTATTAAAATTCTAATCATCAATTTTTAGAATAAATTGCCACGGAAGTAAAGGGAGTTTACAGTAATAGCTGTGTCAAAGAAAAAAAACCTATCCTTTTAAGACACTATTTTTTTTTTTTTTTTTTTTTTTTTTTTTTTTTTTTTTTTTTTTTTTTGCAGGCATGAATGTTAAACTTTGCCAAAATATCTCCATTTTCCCCTCCTCTAAAAATGTCTGAAAAAAAAAAAATATCTCCTGGGTTTCAGAAGCAAACTTGAAGTATTTGGTAAGCCAATGCTTTATCTAGGCACCATAGATTGCCAGTTCTTGCACCTAATCTAACACCATAATAATCTAGTATTAAATGTAAACAGAGATGTCATCAAATATAGTATTAAATATTAAGTGTTAAATAATCTAGTATTAAATGTAAACAGAGATATCAAATATAGTAGCTTTATTCTATGTTGGTGATGTATTTTATCACAGCAGTCTGAGTCACTGGTACTTTTCTGATAACAGAAATTAAGCATTCTTAAGTCTGATCAATACTTAGATGGTTACCCATTGATCTACGAACTGATAATAGGTACTGTAAATAAATAACCTTGTGCCAGTCTAATCAAGCACAACATTCTGAGTTGATAACTGCTAAAATAATGAAACTTGTATCCCATACCTCACAATCCCTTTTTATGGATGTCACCTTACCCACTTCAGTCTTGAAAGTTTGGGAGTTATTGTCATCCTCTCCAAATCTCTTCAATATATCTTGTCTTGCTTCTTTCAAATAAGTTATTATTTTTATTAAACATATTTGCAAGTTTTTCTATACAAGCTTTACAATTTTCTTTTTTAATCTGTACACTGTTAAGACAAATCCGCTAAACTCATATAGATCTAACTTTTCTTTTCCTTCTTGCAATCATCTTAAATAGAATATTTTTTTAAAATATACATTCCATGATTGCTTTAGTGAGGTTTGGCTATACCAGGTGCTACAAGATTGACCATTTTTTTTTTTCTTTTAGGGTCTCTTGAAATATTCTTTTCCAGACATGTTTCTTACACCAGGTGTGAGGTGATCCTTACTCTGTCAAAATAGAATTGCTGCGAATGAATTTCCTCATGTTGTTCAACTTATCAAAACAATCTATTAAAAGATTTCAAGATATTTCCTGAAAGTATTTGTTGCAAGCATTTGGTTTGGCATGTCTTGGGGGGCTGCTTTTCACAACCCCTCCTATAACCAACTCTTCTGTTTGCCTAGCCTAGAGTGAGGGTTAATCAGTTGGTCTCAGTCACTATTCATAACTATAGTAAGTTTAAGTTTGACTTGTTACCATATCACATGAGGCTGAACTTAGTAAATACTTTTACAAACATATCTACTACTAAGCAGATTTGGTTCTAGATGAAAAAAAAATACATGTTCAAAATGTGTACATAATCTTTAAACTTAACAATACTCTGTATTAATATTATGCTTTTTTTTTAATCATTTCACTCTAAGCAAAGCAATAAAGCCACTAAGATGGAAGGGGTTACTGAGTGTTAGAGAGTACAAGAAAAAAAATAAAACTCTATTAAGGAGAGAGAACAATAAAAGAACAGCAAGAAAAGATAATGAAGATTTCATTTAAATTTTTGAGGATCAAAGTTGATTGGGAAGCAAGAAGCCAGAAGAGTCTTCCACAAATGAGAGTGCAAGAGAAGAAGCTTTTACATTATTTACATTATTCGGACTATTGTCCTCATCTTTGTCGCCATGTTTATTACAACATTTCAGCCGTTGTACGCTCCAGCCTTCTTCGGGTGGTTGGAATGTTGAACTTAACCCTTTATTTCATTCACTGGGGTAGACTGTTCTAGTTCCACATGCCATGTTTAATGGATGTCAGTTATCAGTTATCTCCTGTTAATTTCCCTCTGAAAGTTCTCCACTGCCTTAACCGAGTATTGAACTCACACTCTTTGGGTCCTGTCACTGGATCTAACCAACACCTTTATCTACTGCGCCATGTGTCCTTGAGAAGCTTTTAGCATAGAACTTATGGTTACATCTAGCCATTTCAACTGTAAAAAAAGATGATATCTTGCCGCCAATCTAGTACTGCACTTAAATTAATAAAGTTGAGGTACCGTAGAGGAAAATTCTTCAGAATAATTATCATGAAAGTATTTATAGAAAAGATGCAGGGAAGCTACTTTACGGCGGTAGGAAATTTACTGAAGCCAAGATGCCAAGTCAGGACCAAGAACAGTGCAGATTCTTCTTTGTATTTTTATCAAGAATCTCTAAATATATAGCAGAAGCACCAGACCAAATGTATAACCTTCATGCTTTTCTACCTAGAATCAGAGTGTAGTATCTGCTCAGATTCTATTACTTCTTAACTGGAATTACATTTTCTAAATGAAAAACCTATATAGTAATATTAAGTGGAAAGTTATGTAAAATTGGAAAGGAGAGGAGAAGAGTGTGAAGGAGGAAATAAAATTAGAGAAAAATGAGAAGAAAAACAAGTGAAAGGAAAGATTCAACATGTGGGGGTGCTGAAAAGTTCTTTAGATTCTAAAACAAAATTATAATGTTTGGTCATTTATTCAGATTTTGGGAAATGGGACAGAATTTTTCAGAACCCCCTCATATTGAAAAAAAGAACAAGTCAGAGATAATGGAAAGTTATAAGGAAGCAGGCTTACTTACATTGTTCAGATTGTTATCCTCATCTTCATTGCCATATTCACAATGTTTCTCCATTGTACGCTCTGGCCTTCTTCGGGTGATTAGAATTTTGAACCGAACCCTTTATTTCATCATGTGCCATGCCAATTCTGGATGTCTCTGTTATTTCCTTTTAATTCAACTCTCCAAGTTTTTGGTTCACTACGGCTGTAGCCTGGAATCAAACTCGCAACTCTTTGGGTCTAGTCACTGGATCTAATTAACACCTTTTTCCACTGGGCCATGTGTCCTTGAGGACAAACATTGTGAGTATGGCAATAAAGATAAGGGTAACATTCTGAATTATATAAATAATGGAGGCAAGCTTGTTGGCTGGATATCAAAAGACAATGAGTGAAAGTTTTGAAAGGCAGGTAGGGATTAAATACTGGAAGTACTTGAAAGTGCAATAAGATTAAGTAGACTTGAAAAACCTATTTTCCTGAAAGATTATTTCAATAGAAAGATTTTATAAATTTCAACCAATGGTAGCATTGGCTGCTAAGTCAATGAATGCCAAATGTTTCCTTATAAGGAAACAGTTACAATTTTTGAGCCAGTATTTGAATCTTGCTTTGAGAGATGATTTTTTTTAAGACTCTCTTTTTCCTGCAAATTTTAATGTAAAAATTTTTTTATCATTTTTATTTTTTGTCAAATTTTCCCAGCATCCCTTTCTGATTCTAAATATGTGTCTCTCTTCTTTTTTTTTTTTTTTTTTTTTTTTTTTTTTTTTTTAGCCCATTTTCTTTAAAAACTTCCTTGTTGCAAACATTCTGTCTATGGTATTCTCAGTATCCTTCTGAAGAAAAAAATAATTCTTTTTTTTCTTTTGTTAGTCACTAGTTAGAATATGAGCACATTCAATTTTTTGAAATTTTTATAAGTGATGTGTGAAAACCACTTAGATTCACACCTATACATACACACATTTTTGTTGTTTTTGTTTTGCATAAGTAAAAGTATTGAGGTATACTAGGTATACTAATTTATTTTTTACTTTCTTTTTCTTTCAGAACTATTGGTGGTAACGGTGGCAACAAAGGAGACAGATGGATTCAGACGATTCATGAACTCTGCTAAAAAATATGACCTGCCAGTTTTGGTAAGTTGTGAAAGCAGTAAATTTATTTTTGAGGTGCAGCGTTAGTTTAATAATTAACAGTGCAAAAAATTTTTTTTTTTTTTTTTTTTTTTTGTTGAAATGTGTTCAAATTACTCTAAGCAAATTGAACAGAGGATAGGCTGCACCAGGGGTACTTTTACCCTACACTGTATCTTGCTGCAAAATCAAACTTTTTATATTAAGAAAAATACAAAAAAAAAAGGAAATATTAGATATTTATTTTTTATGGTTGTTAGTGTATTCAAAAATATCTGGCACTTCTTCTATATACCATGTCTCTTCATGACACAAGTGATCATGGCTCTCCTCAACTTCCTATCCATTGTAACTCATAGCAATGTTTGTCTTTTTACTATCCCTCTCACTCCCTGTTTTGCCATCCATTTAGACAAGCTTGGTAGATAGATTACTCACTGTTTCCCCTCTCTCTCTCTCTCTCAATATGCACCTGTGAGTATCAAATTTTCCAAGCTTTCTTTCTTTTATCATGTGTCCTAGAAATTTCATCCATCTCTTTCTGATTTAAAGTACATTTTCTTTTTGTTTTCATTTCCCTTAAAATGTCTATTCTTTATATGCTTTGCTCATGGTATTCTCAGTATCCTTCTGTAGAACGACATTTCTGTTACCTCTAGGTTTATTGTCTGTAAAGAAATTGTCCAGTATTCTCTGCCATAGAGGAGGATTGATATTACATAGCAATTCAACTCTTTTTTTCTGTATGCCAAAAACACGTCTACTCATTAAATTTGGTTCCATTGATTTTAGAGAGGAACAATTTTAAATATCATTTTTTTATTCATTCCCCGCTTTAAACTACCATAAAGCCGTTTGAAGTGACATTGTAAGATATTTTTTCATAAATTAATTTGGAAGTCATGATTTTTTTTTTCAATTTAAACTGTTTTTTTTTTTTTTTTTTTTTTAGCTCTCCAATTTTCTAAAATGAAGCTTTGTCATTATCAATAATTTTCATTAGTTTTTCTTTCAACTTATTGTTTTCATTTTATTGCAAACCTCAAGTCACTTTAAATTCTACAATTGTTAAATAACATGGATCATCATGACAGTTTAAATTAATGGAAGAACGTGAAGGCATGAGGTAATATGGATCAGTATGAAGGCATGAGGTAACATGGATTGGCATGAAGGTATAAAGTTCTGCAGAGATTTGATTTTGCAATTTTTATCAGATATTAGATAGCATCTTTATTGATGAGGCTGAAGCAGTTTAACCAACAGATATCATTTAGATTTAATCATATAGCTACAGTCTATTTTTTCCATACATAGTGATTAGTCTTCAAAAATGCCTTTTCATAGATATTTTTATCTGATGGTCTTGTGTTGTAGTAAAGCTTTGCTGTCTCACAGTTAACTGGTATTATCATTACTTCCATGATTGTGTGTGGCTCTAGGGTTACTGCACAGCTGCCCACTTGACCAGCTCCCTTCATATGTCTCAGTTTCATGCCAATGTTTTTTTTTTTTTTTTTTTTTTTTATAAATCCACCCCAAGCAAAGGAATAATATCACTAACATGCAAGGGGCTACTGGATGTAAAGGAGAATTAAAAAGATTTTTAGAAGTAATCAGAAACCCAGTCTTAAAATGGAAACAAGGAATAAATCTCTGTTCCTGTTCAAAAGCCTGGGGAGGAGTGTGAAACAGATAATAGGTGAACCTATCTACTCCTGTTGAGGAAAAAATAAATAGTAAATAAAATTTTAGAGTTTAAAGTAGCTTACAGTCCACTTAGTAACGTTGTCAGCTCATTTTTGCCTTTGTCTGCATCTTCTTTTGTCTAAGCTGGTTCCTTGTAGGATGGCCGTTTTGACGTGACCATACCATTTCAACTTAATAGTGGATATGAGGTTTTCCAACAGGCCCATCCACCCTGAGCTTAGATTCCCAGCTATGGGCAAATAGTGAATCCCCCAAGCAAAAACAAAGCACTATAAAAGTATAAAAATACATTTTTATAGTATTCATAGTAAAATTACCAACATTATATTTAAAAAAAAAAAAATTGCATTCAAAAAATATTTAGTTTGAGCCATAAAATCATGTTCAAAATATTTAGATTTCGGCATTAAATAACCCATAGAGATCAATATGCTGTTAAACAAAATCAAGCAACTGACATGAAAGAACACTTTCATTACATTAATTCATATAATATCCTTTCAATTTCTTAAATAATTGAAACTTTATTCCAAAATATAACTTCAACAAAATTACAACATAAAACCATGCATATCACTGCCTCTAGTAATCCTGTCCGCACAAACTTGTATATGCACAAAAGCTGAGTATCATCTACCATATATTCAACTGTGAAAGCAGAAAAAGATATATTTTTATTACTTCAAAGCTCCCAAGAAAATTAAATTTCAACGTTAAATGACCCATAAGGAGTTGATGTGCCATTAAAAATACAAATCTATTGATCCAACAGGCCTGTTTGATGGCATTTTTCCACTACATCATTTGTGATACAATCTATACAGAAGATGCCTAGGATGGCTCTGTAACATCTCATTTTTAATGCTTGAATTCTTTGCTGTAATTCTGCAGTTAATGGGCAAGATTTACAAGTGTAGAGACAAACTGAGAAGGCTAATGCATAAAATAGTCTCATCTTTTCATTTTAGGCAGGTGTTGTTGTTTTTCCAGATGGTTTTTAGTTTTTGTAAAAGTTACCATTTTTTTGTGCTGTTCTTTAAATTATTCCTATCCTGGGCCCTTCTTCACTGATAACCGAGTCAAGATATATGAATTGTCTTACTACCAGTCAGTTGTTGATCACTGATTTTTATCTTGTTTCAAAGCCTGTTTTCATTGTGTTATAAAATAAAATAAGACATATCTCGGCTGATTTACAGGCAAATAAACTAACATACTCAAGAGCGAGAGCCGGATGTGAATGGGACAAAGCACTGTCACAAAATGACCAGTATCTTAGTTTACAAATGTTTCCGACGCACGAGTTTCGATCGGTTTGAAATAAATCATGTAAATCTATTTCTGCTGTTGTCGTATTTCTTTCTTGCAACCATACGCTTATCTATAACAATTGTTTATCATGTGTTTGGTAGAGGAGGCACGGTGGAGTAATGGATAGCGGCTTGGATTGAGGAATCAGAGAGCCGAGTTCGAATTCCAGTCGAATCCATTACATTCACTTACGTGCTAATACCCTTGGGAAAGGTGTGAATCCTCTTCTTCTCCCTCCAGCTATGGGTAAATAGCAAGACAGACTGGGTTCTATAGCCTTGGATGGCAGCTGGTCTAGTAGAAGGACAACTCTGAATTCAAACCTGCGGAGGGTCGTTTAGGGACCTTGTGGCACGTAGTGCACCAGGTCTCTGTAATCGGCCCTTCAAAAAATATGGATGGTCCTGCACAAAACCTTCACCACTATAATCAAATCTCATGTGCTATACATGCGAGTTTGGGGACCGCTTGTGAATTCCAAATTCCCATGAAACTCCAATATTAGAGCCGGCTCAACCCACCCTGGGTGAATACCATTACAAGAACAAGAAGAGATGTGTTTGGTGTTGCAATAAAAAGTAATAGCAAAAACAAGGTGAAAGAAAAGATATTAAAAATAATTTATTCTGTTTTTAATTTATAATATTCATCTGAATTTGTTTTAAGCGTTATAAAGATTGTCTATCAGCTGATTAATTTTTCAGGTAATGATGGCATACTTCCACTTTTATTATTGCTTTTTAATTCTATTGATAGGTTGTTGGTATGGGTGAAGAGTGGGATGGAGGAGATGTGGCCAGATTTGCTGGTGGTGGGCACAAATTGAATTTACTCAAAGATGCTCTGGCCAAATATGCTGACCGAGAAGATCTTGTCCTTCTGTATACTGACAGGTAAGAATATTAAGATAGCTTCTTTAGTTTTGAGAATTGCCTGAGTTGTTTGGAATTCTGAACTCTTTTTTTCCAATACTGTCTTTGTTGATTCAGACTATAGCCATTTTTAGGCATACACTGAACAGAAAGCAAGAAGTGGGTGTCTTTTTTTTTTTTCTCTCTTTTTTTTTTTTTTTTTTTCTTTTTTTTTTCTCTCTTTTTTTTTTTTTCTCTCTTTCTTTTTTTTTTTTCTCTCTTTCTTTTTTTTTCTCTTTTTTTTTTTTCCTTAGTAACACAAAATGGTGGCAAAGAGAAAAGATAATGACAGGATCATCGTATTCCATTAAAGTATGAAATAAGACTATTTTATTCACAGCAAATATGTGTAATGCAAAATGATCTATTTTATGCAAATTTGATTTTCAGGTTTGAAGAATATAAGAAAGCTGTATCCAAAGAAAAAAGAAAATTCCTTATTTTAGGTCATATATGGAAGGAGAAAGGATCATATTACCCCTTCCAGGACGAGGTCCAAATAATAGGAAACATTGATGAAAAATGAGAAATTTAAAGGGAGTGACAAATGTATGGATTCCTTTGCTTAGCAAAGAAAGGTTTGGAGGGCATTCATATATATATATATATATATATACACACACATATATATTTTAGCTGTGTATTTAAAACCCAGTAATTTTAAAAGTTACTCCAAAATTCACTTGAGGATGAAATGGAACTAATGTTTTTAATTTAATTACAAAATTAAATTTGGGGCTTTTAGCTTCCATTTTTGAAGCATGGTTAGAACTGTGTAGCGAAAAAAAACATTTTAAATCAATTAATTTATAATATTAATGCTCTGTAAATTTACATTGAGCACTATTTTCTAAAAATAAAAATATCTATACGAACACCGGATTATATATCTTACTTTGTTTCTTTATATATATATATATATATATATATATATATATATATGCAACTTAGTGTTTGTCACATCTATAATTAGCATTGCTAG